ACATAGTTCACTTGAGGTTGGTCAACCCTCGAATCTTACCTCAAAAAAAAGTAAGTTATAATATAGCGACCGATACTGCACGTGATATTGACCGCTTCATAACTATTGTAAAAAGGTTTGTGTTAGTAACAGGTAGAAGGATACGCGAGGTGTTAGTATATGATTACTTCACTGACGACTAACAAGTAATAGGGGCATGATTGATTAGCAATGAAAATAAAGGTCAAGCAATTGGAAGTTCGGCCAGAGGCGTGCGCGTGCAGTGTATGTAGGGTGAAAGTGATATCGGAAAAGGAGTAGCCGGTGAAAAGTGCGCGCTATGAGAAGAAGGATGCCTTAGAACAACGAAAAGCTTTGGAACCTCCTTGAGGGAGAGCACAAGTAAGGCGAATAGACAAAGGGGGAACTGATTCCCGTATGCGAACCGACTGGCAGAATTTCTTCTCCCACGGGAAGAGCGGCGGGCTTCCGGTCGGTGTTGCGAAATGTCGACTGAATCTATAGTCGCGTTGGTTCCGCTCGGCACTCTTTTCCCGCGCAATTTCTGCAATAGATTATTGATAGGTCAAAACATTGATTATTTGACTCCCTTCCTGACATTCCAAAGGTTTGAAACGAGTGGTCTCTTCACTCGTATTACTTCAAGAACTCACGGGTCTCACCTTGACCCCGGTATCGAAATGGTCCACGTTTGGGCATATTTCTGCCAGTTCGACCACCTTCCGCGCAACTGGCGCTTCTTTTGCTACTATCGGTCTTTTCATCCGTCTCAGTGCTTGGTTCCGGTCAGTGGGCGAATTCACGTAGCTTCTCATACCAAGATGAATCTTGAAACGTCCAACTATATCATTGTAATCGTAGAGGTCACTCCCGAGGCATCTTATGGGATTATCCCATTCCTCTGATGGGACATCTTTCCCGAAAAACCTGACATTCATGAACGGAGTTATGGTGCTGAGAACGACCGAGACGTTCGAGGCTGCGTGATCCCACATGCGGATATTCGCCCCGGAACTGTGCTCTCGTGGTGCCATTTCAACGGCGAGATTTACGTCCATCGATCTCGAGCTGTCTAGCCATGGTCGCAACACGTGTAATATGTGTGAAACACGTGATTTCTTTGTCCGAAAAACTTTTCCCGATTATCACCAACACTTCGCTCTTGTCATCCTGGGAATGTATGGAGTCGTTGTCGTAAATGACACCTTTGACCCTCTCCGACAAGCATTTGAGGATATTCTCCAGGTTCTTCGGAACGAACAGTAGCTGTAAGCGTCTGGCTTTTCCCACGGACCTTTCCAGAACTTGTCGTGAACCAAGCTCATAGCGTTCTGGAATATTGCGCTCAATCTTCTCCATGATACGGGGTCAAACCCATGGAGAGCGAAAAATGGACTCTCGGGCTGCATGCGGGCTTACATTATGAATAAACAGTATATATAGGTACGGTAAAGTGATAAGGATCCCACGACTCCGCCTTGTGAATGCCTCAGTTTGCTTTCAAGCGATGGAAGTTGCGACTGACTTGCGCCTTTTTCCCTTCTTTAATGTCTACTATGCGCCTTTAGGTGCCCTTTTTCTTAAGGATTTCGGTCATTACTTATCGGAAATTGTTTCCTTTCGTTCATTGATCGATTTTATCATTTTGAAGGTGTATTATGTTTAATTACCCAAGTTTGAGATTTATGGGCGCCTTGCACCCATAAATCGCGGTGATTACGAGTGTGGTCAGTTGGAATCGGTGGTCTTGATCCGTAGAACTTATCGCAACAACCGCGTGGCATTGAGCCATTCGTAAACACGTACACTGAAAAATGAGTAGTTGGACGACCATCGACGAACTCGGATCGACGTCTATGAAAGCCACATAGAAGATTTTCCACGTGGAGAACATAAAATGTATTCTATTAATGTATTATTCGTGTTATTGTATTTTACTTGTTTTACACGTTTTCGAGATATTGTAGCTTAATATCGTCAAAATTCTTCCAATTCCAAATCTCACTCGAAAAAAAAAACGTTCAAGAGAGGGGTTGTTAACAAGGAGAGTTTGCTTCCTTTAAGCCTTCACGAGGAGGATGCGGGCACCTCACGGAACTATTTTTCTTAAGTACTTCTTCTTGGCTGGGGAATGTCATGAACTCCATGTTCACTATGTCATCGCCTTGTTCTCTGCCTCCTGCTCGGCGAGAACCTGGGCATCGCAGGGAATTCGGCGGGAGAGTGAGAAAAGGCTCGCTGCTTGGTTGATCGTTTTGAAAAGCCTC